TATTTCTTGAGCAAGACGCCTTACATTCGCTTCAGAAGTCAAATACAGTGGCATTCTATTGATCTGCACCCAAAATGGGACTTATTAAGGGTACAAATGTAATACAGTTAGCAATATAGTTAGGTAGTTAGTATTTGGTTAAAGTAGTTAGGATTTCTATATAAACAGTATGTGTAATCTTCATTTGATCAGTTAATACAAATCTTATTTCTCTCTCTACACTCTCTCACTCTAGAATCTCTCTTGTTTCTCTCTATCTTCTTCCTCTTCCTCTGTATCAATCCTTCATCTTTTACAATGTAATTAATATGGTATCAGAGCCACCAAGGCTCATGCCATGGATCTTGGTGGTCGATTCCTCTTCTCTCATTTTTTTTTTCTTCATTACTTTCTATGTTTCCGCATATTTGATCCCAATTTTTGTGTTTAGTTTTGGGGTTTTTCCTCTGTTTTGTGGAGATCAATGAGTGCCTGACTAGACCATCTTTGTGGGTCCTCGAGGAAAGCCGAATTGCGGCGTTTAGGGACAAACCCACCACCATTTCTCACTCAGGTTTTGCTCAATCTTGGATTTCTCAGTGTGTGAGCGAGAAAGGAAACCCATGGTTTCTGAATGTCTCTTTGTTGGTTATTTCTTGATGGGTGTAGTACTGCTTCGTGGGATTTCACAGGTGTAGGTCCTGCAACCTCTTGCATCTTGGCGATCATGCGTTGGAATCAGAGCCACGAATCCCATCTATTCAACTCCAACAACTACTTTCCTTCAAATCGTCCTTCGAAGCGTGCTGGGTTTGCTGGGTGCAAGCCATTGGTGGGTTGGATTGGATATAAACCGGTCGACTTCGAGAAGAACAACGAGCTCCTGCGATGGGTTCTGGTTTGCTTCCTCAGCGTTCTTTAGGTCAAGATTAAAGTTCTTATCAGTGTGATATTTGGGAACTGAAGATTCAGGTTTCGTATTTCTTTCTGCACTCCAACTGTTTGTTTGATTATCTCAGTGGAAAATTCTATGTTAATTTGTGTATTAAGGTCGATTGCCATTAATTGATTGAAAAGAAAATGAAGGCCGATTGCCATTGCTGAAAGATTGATTCTTTGATTGATTGTTGGGTATTTTATACTCAAGAAGGCCGATTGCCAAGAGTTGTTCATTTGTTGAAATTGTGTTCATTGGTGAAGATTAAAATTGAGAGTCTTTTAGGTATTCAACAAGGTGAATTGTAGTGAAATGTGAATGAAAGATGCGATCTTAAAGATGGGTTTTGATGGTTTTGAAGATGGGTTCCAATTCTTGTCTCTCTGCTTCCCTGATTTTCTGCAATTCTGTTGAGGAGTTTGTGCAGTAATTTTTCCTTATCTCAGCCTACAATGTCGAGTCTAACCAGCTCAGTTGTTAGCATGTATCTACAGTAAGTCCGATTATACGTTGAAGTTTGAAGAAGATGTTAACGGTAAATCCCACGAAGGGTAATTCCGTGATGTGAATAGGTCAATCCCACGAAGGGTAGAATAAGTTGTTACCGGTAAATCCCACGAAGGGTAATCCCGTGTTTTGAGTAAGTAAATCCCACGAAGGGTAATCCTACATAGATGTTAATTTTTCAGTTGTTGAAATTGTGAAGGCCGATGCCATTGTTCAAAGAAGTTGTTTTTTGGTAAAATCCACAAAGGGCGATCCCGTGGTGCTATAGTTAAGGCCGATGCCACACTATAGTTTGTTAATTTTCTAAGCCAATGTTAAATGTAGTTGTTGACGGTAAATCCCACGAAGGGTAATCCCACAAGAAATTGTTATAATCGGCATGAGGGTGTGTTACAACTTTATAAGAGGTTGTTCTTTGAGTGAAGCTCATGTTAGAGGCAGTATGGTTTTGCGTTCCCAGAAACTACAGAGAAGATATGTTGTTCATTCCGTTGTTTGTTTAAAGGATTTTGAAAGATAACTATGGGTTGGTGAATCAGGACAAGTCAGTAAGGTCTTTAAATGAAAGCATACTGTATTGGATAATATGTAATGCAGGTGCTACGAACTCCTCGGGAAAGCCTCAGTAGCACGATCTTCTGATAGCAAAGCCTCTTCATAAGTCAAATTAGTTTTTCCAGAGACTTTGCACATCCAAATTCTCTGGCGATACAAGTTTATCCGGTTCAGATATTCATTGTAGTCTCGAAATATCTCTTTTGTAGTTCGAACTTGGTATACAAGCTCATGAGACTCCAAATCATTAGGTAGTTCAGCCAAGGGAAACGGCTTTCTTTTCAATAGAGGCATCCTTATTACTCAGTGCTGATGCAATGCCAAGGCACACAAACTTGCATATGGTTAATTCAGTTCAATGGAGACCTTGACCCAACTGAACGTACGAAGCGGAGAATGGGAGAAGATATTGTTGTTGTGCGTTCATGGGATACACTTCCCTTGTCAAAGCTTCTGTCCTCTGTTTCTACAAGTTGCTGCTGCTCATTGGAAGTATTTTGAACTTTCTGTCCTCTGTGTTCTATTTTCTGGTTTCATAACAGTGATTGCAGTTGAGATTGAGGGGGAGTATTAAGGGTACAAATGTAATACAGTTAGTAATATAGTTAGGTAGTTAGTATTTGGTTAAAGTAGTTAGGATTTATATATAAACAGTATGTGTAATCTTCATTTGTTCAGTTAATACAAATCCTATTTCTTTCTCTACACTCTCTCACTCTAGAATCTCTCTTGTTTCTCTCTATCTTCTTCCTCTTCCTCTGTATCAATCCTTCATCTTTTACAATGTAATTAATAGGACTAACTCTCCATATTTATTTCCTCTAACGCCAGCTTAGGAGGCCACCCTTTAACCGAGAAATTTTGTTTCGTGACTGCCTAAGGAACCTGATTAAGGATTTTAGCTACAGTACTTTCATTCGGAACTATTATGATAAAGGTGTTGTCCTGGACTCATTTGATTTCGATTTCGCCCCAATCTCTCCAAGCAGAGAGAAGAATATTTGGGACCCCCCACTTGTTGGGATTCCTATTGACCAAAACTGAGCCCACCAATTTGACACCACCTTCCATTGTGAACAGATCCATGGACTTGTCTAGATGGACCACCAATTTGTCCACATTAGATTGCGCCATTTGCCCTTTGGCGTTACGTTGAGCCCAGATCGAAGTCGCAGAAGTGTACAACAGATTAGTAGTATAAGACTTGTTAAAATTTTTCCTTGGGAGAACTGTACTTCTATGCCTTTCAGATTCACCCTGTTGATCTTGTACTGAGTAAAGTAGAATCACAAAAAGAATTGTCCGTTGAACATATCTTTTGTTTAGTGAGTGCATTTTTGCTCATCATCCTATTTATCATTGTTAGATGAGTTTGAATTTTGAGATTTGTATTTATCCACTACACGAATCTCAAAATTCAAATTCATCTAACGGTGATAAATAGGATAGTAAACATACACTACACTAAATAATGGTGAGCAAAAATGCTCCATTTGTTTAGTAGAGTTAAATCCCTCATATTCTTTAATGCTGACTCTTTGGTAGCTGACTCCATCTTCTTTTCAATAAATGTTGTGTTAGGTGGGGGGATAGTAATTTCCTTTCACTTTACCTGGGCTACCAGATCTGGATCCGCCATAAATTCTCCTTCCCCTAACCAGTAGCTGGTTGTTGATCCATCCCCCACTCAAGAAATTTTTAATTGTGACGGAAACACAAGTGGTACATCACGTATTTTAATAGGAGTGGTGTGAAATTTTATTTTTTAAGCCATTAAGTTTTTAGCACACATATCTCACAATTTGTATAATAACACGTAATGTACTACTCCGTATATCGATTACACTGAAAAATTTCTCCAACCACTCCCACAACGGAGAGATGGAATCACTCACAAAGGAAGCTCTCACGGAGAAGAGGACTTGTTATTTCTCTCCCTCTCCACTTTCTTATTTTTCTGCATTCACTTCCACCTTTTATTTATGACGATACAGTACGTACGTAGTGCCTTTTTTCTCGATCACATGCATACCATGGGTTGGATATTATTTTTTTTTGAAAAAAAATATATTATCTACAATTTTATTTATGTGCTCGATCAATAATTGACTAGTAATAATGTAGTTCAAATTCGTTTTTTACGAGAATCGAGCTTAAGACTTTTCAGGTCCAAATAAAGATGAATATTACTATACTATAATATTAAATGTGATGCATACATGCTTTAAATATAACAAAATAATTTAAATGAACCGACGTCAACAAATTGAACGTGAATGGTGAATATCAGAATGAACAGCTTTCATGCTTGCATGCATATGGTTATACTTAAAACGTGCATGCTTCATATATGCCAACATCGAGGGCCTGCACATCTTACACACCTTTCTGTTGTAATCCAGTCTGGCGTTTGGCGTTTGAATGGTACTTGGTAATCACTAATTAGAACATCTCCAATGAAAATTTTAAAATGCATTCTAATGGGGATTTCAAATTTGCTGGTTGTGTTGTTACCTACATACATCCAAGGAGGTTTCACTCTACGGGGGCATATATATTGGTCTTAAGCAATTAATTGGATCCATCCAAAATCCCATGGAGCACAAGCGTGCGAAGAAGTGTACGGATGAGGGCCCCATAAAGAATAAATGGTGTCCTCCGTGGTTGACCGATAAATCCTAGGCTATAAAACCCAGCGTATTAGCCTGCAGAGCTCTAAAACCGTGGTTTTCACTAAAATGGCAAACCGTGATTAGAGAAACAAGGTTTTTTGAAAAGAAATTGAAAATCCATCCGAACTGCATTAGAGAGAGAGAAAAAATAAATATATATATATATATGGGGTGTGTTATCCACACATTTCATTTTACTTCTCACAAACTCTTGATAATTTATGTTCGTTGATTCTCTTCAATTCATTTGATCTGATAACTGAAAATTAAAAAAATATGTGAGAAATAAAATGAGGTGTGGATATCACACACATATATATATATGTATATATGTATATATGTATAAATTAAATCCAGCTTGCAAGAGAGTAAAAACCCCGGCTATTACACCACTGAAGAGAGAGAATGAGAGTAAGCCCAGCTCTCATATCATCTCTCTATCTGTGCGTGATAGAGAGAGAAAGCTGGAGAGATATTTAGCATAAGAGAGCGCGAGAGATAGTAAACCCAAAATCCTTCAACCCTCTCGATCAGGTGAAAAATGGCGCCGAAGCTCACTGCAAAACAAAAGTAATGTCTCTTATCTGCGAATTTCATTTTTGTAAATAGTTTTGTCGATTAATTTATTGTTTCAAATCATCATGCCCGTTCGATTAATTTCCAGAAATGGTTTTGTTCGATTAATTTCCATTTTCCAGTATTGCTTTGTTTCGATTACTTTCCATATGCTTTATTTCTATTAATTTCCAGAAATGCTTGGATTCGATTACTTTCCAGATGGTTTGTTTCTATTAGTTTCCAGAAATGCTTGGGTTCAATTAATTCCATTTTCCAGTAATGCTTTGGTTCGATTACTTTCCAGATGCTTTTGTTTCTATTAATTTTCAGAAATGCTTGGGTTCGATTAATTCCGGATGCTTTGTTTCTATTAATTTCCAGAAATGCATGCTTGGGTTCGATTAATTTCCTGTTTTCAGTAATGCTTTGGTTCGATTACTTTCCAAAAATGCTTTGTTTCTATTAATTCCTAGAAATGCTTAGGGTTGGATATTGTGTCGGGTTGAGATCGATGGGGCTTTTTATCATTTTTTAAATTATTTTAAAAAATTTAATGTAGGAGAGAGTATATATTAGCGATGGCAGACTTCAAGCTTACTGACCAGTGGAATAACAGCATCGAAGCATGGTGGGAAAAGCTCAAGAGTGTTGATACTGTAAACTGGAGAAATGAAATGTGTGTTCTTCCTCCCGTTCCACACATAATCAGACATAAGTAATTTCAAAACCCCTACAATTTGACAGTGCGACTAAATAAAAGGGTATTCTTTTTCCTCTTATATTTACAGGTTTGTATTTTATAAACATGCTTTTGAGTTGCGTTTGCTTGTATATATATTTTTGGATAATGCTATGGAGATTAAATTTGTAGACAAAATACTGAAAGCTAAATGACATAGAAGTTGACGATTGATTTATTAATTAAACGTTGATAAATGTGCTCAATCTTATTGATTACATGATATATCTACGTTTAATTTTGTATAACATGAGTACATTTTGGTTTAAATAGTATACATTTTTGTGTTAGGTTTATGGTAGATTTGAGTTTTCAATTGTGTAAGTGTGTTGAAACTTGAAAGAGAATAATTTGTTAAGATAGTATTAAAATAGACCTAAAAATTTGCCTTTAATTAAAACTTATTATCTCAATTCGTTCCAACAAAGCTTACACCACCCAAAAAACAACACTGATCAATTTGAAAATCAAAGCTTGTTGGGAAGCTTTGGACACCTCACTTCTTTCAAGTTTGAGGTCCAGTGGCAGCTTGCCATGTGTCCAGCGAAAAGGAAATCTAATCTCTGTTTTCCTTTTCTTTATGTCACTAAATTTCATTTGATGCGATACTATTAAAGAAAGAGTAATGTTAGGTAGGGCCAAACTTTTTAAATTAAATTTGCAAACTAAATAATATGGTTGTAGATGATTGGATTATTAATTAAGTGTTAATTACCATGCTTGTTTTTTATTGGGAGCCATATGTGTGTCGATTGTGATTTGTGGGGCAGTATCAGCATAATATTATATTCCCACGGGAGAGATACATTCACTATCTCTAGAGAGTATTATATTGGGAGTTTTCAAGGAGAGGGCACTCAAGGCCTGAATGCTAAGGGATGTGGCGGAGAGAAATAGTGTACTTTGGAAAATGGGTGTGATGAAGCCAGAATGCGATGTCTCTTTGGAAGATGGCTTGCGATACGCAATGAAATTTGGCATTCCACTTGAAGAGGAATGACCTCTAGACAGTAGTGTTCGGCCAGTGGGGAATCTCAAATCCTTCAAAATAGTGGACTACAAAAAAGTTGACCAAAAATATGTGGTAAGCATATGATGCGGCAATTTTCGACCCACCATCACATCGCATAGCAAGGGGAATGCCAGCAGCATATGCTTTATGGTTACACATTCTTTTGGCCAACGTTTTTGTAGTCCACTATTTTGAAGGATTTGAGATCCCCACTGGCTGAACACTGCTATCTAGAGGCCATTCCTGTTCAAGTGAAATGCCAAATTTCATTGCGTATTGCAAGCCATCCTCCAAAGAGATATCGCAGTCCGGCTTCATCCCACCGATTTTCCAAAGTACACTATTTCTCTCTGACACATCCCTCAGCATTCGAGCCTTGAGTGCCTTCCTTGAAAACTCCCGATACAATACTCTCTCTTGAGAGTGAATGCATCTCTCCGGTGCAAATATAATATTGTGCTGATACTAGCCCACAAATCGCAGTCGTCACATATATGGCTGCCAATAAGAAACAAGCACGTTAATAGACATTTAATTAATAATCCAACCATCTACAACCAAATGATTTAATTTGCAAATTTGATTTTAAAAGTTTGGTCCACCTAACATTACTCTTTCTTTAATAATATCGCATCAAGTGAAATTTAGTGATAGAAATAAAAGGAAAACATAGATTAGATTTCCTTTTTGCTGTACACATGGCAAGCTGCCATTGAACCTCAAACTAGAAAGAGGTGAGGTGTCAAAAGCTTGGGAGATTTATTATCCTACCACAACAAAGCTTTGATTTCGAATTGATCAGTGTTGTTTTTTTGGTGGTTTAAGGTTGTTGTCACGAATTGAGATGATAAATTTTAATTAAAGGCAATTTTTTAGTTCTATTTTAATACCATCTTAAAAAATTATTCTCTTTCAAGTTTCAACACACTTACACAATTGAAAACCCAAATCTACCATAAATCTAACACAAAAATGTATACTAGTAAAACCAAAATGTACTCATGTTATACAAAACTAAACGTAGATATATCATGTAATTAATATGAATTAGCACGTTTATCAATGTTTAAGTAATAAATAAATTGTCAACTTTCATGTCATTTAGTTTTCAATATTTTATCTACAAATTTAGTCTCCCTAGCACTATCCAATACTATATATACAAGCAAATGCAACTCAAAAGCATGTTCATAAAATATAAGCGGAAAAAGAATACCCCTTCATTTAGTCGCACTATCAAATTGCAAGGGTTTTGAAATTACTTACGTTTGATTATGTGTGGAATGGGGAGAAAGAACACCTCTTTCATTTCTCCAGTCTACAGTATCAACACTCTTGAGCTTTTCCCACCATGCTTCGATGTTGTTATTCCACTGTTCAATAAGCTTGAAGTCTGCCATCGCTAACATACATTGTGAAATTCCATTCCCGGATTCCATTGTTCAATAATTCGTAGTTCGTATTTTCAAGAAATTAATATTATTTTCCGTTAATTTAGAAGCCTTAGTTATGAAGTTTGATTTTATTAAAATCCCGCGACACTAAATATTTTTTGATAAAGTCCAATCTCACGAGCAAGTAGAACTGCCCGTGAAACGAGATTGTAACGAAGGAGAAATTAATAAACAAGTTTACGGGTATTTTTGTAAATTTAGTTTAGTCCAAGATATTTTGGATGTTTGGGTTTGCCGGGGCGGGGGGGGAGCCGCGCCCTTTCTTTTTCCTACTGCGTTTTCTCTCCGAGGAGAGGGAGAGAACTCTTTCTTCCCTCTTTGTCTCATTTTTGGTGGGGGGTTCAGGGGTTGCAGAGGGAAGGAAGTCGTCACTTCCCACCACCTCTCCCAAATTCATCTCGCCGTCGATCACCATCACATCTTGCTTTCCTCTATCTTCCAACCCCATATCCCTATGGTATAGATTGACTCTACAACCCAGCTTAAATCCAGTTGTATAAGTTGGAGACACATGACAACTAGAATTGAAGGAGGGAGAGAGGGTGACAGAGAAGGCAAGGATGAGAAAAGGAAGAATAGGGTCAAGGAAGGTGGGTCTGAATCATGAAATAAACATGGTTTTGTATGTTGTTATCCAATGGGTGGAAAGCCTTGGTAATTATTCTCTGACTCTCTTAATTCCTTATATGGTTATTTATTTGGATGCTACTATGGGAAATTAGTCTTATATGCGGTTGCTGTATATGTAAGTTTTTATATGAATATACTTATATGCTGCAAAAGCTAGTTTTATGTGCCAATACCTAAACCCTAGTTTGATATAATACCTGAAAGTGATATTTTGTATAACATCAATTATTGGGTGGAGTCAATTACCTATCATATATTAGCCCTGTTTTTCAAGACTAGTATTATGCAGATGCTTGTTTTTATTTGTTATCTATACAAAAGTTGAAATGACTGCTTCGGTATAAAAGTTGAAATGACTATGGGTTCAATTTATTTGATACCCATTTATAGTTCCTTTTGGATCAAAGTGATAATCTGTTCATGACATACACTTGATTAAATGGGTTGAGAAAGGTGTAGCAGAGGTAGTTTCCTCCGAGAATGGCACTGTGCTCCAAGTATAATTAACCAAAAGCATACCATTAGAAGTATATATGGCCTCTCTCTATATATAAATATATATAACATATGAAATGAAATCTTCGGATAAAATTTGTACCGTTGTATGGCCATATATACTTCTATATATAAATTTATAAAACTTGTTTCTCTAATCACGATTTGCCATTTCAGTGAAAACCACGGTTTTAGAGCTCTGCAGGCTAATACGCTGGGTTTTATAGCCTAGGATTTACCGGTCAACCACGGAGGACACCATTTTTTCTTTATGGGGCCCTCATCCGTATAGTTCTTCGCACGCTTGTGCTACATGGGATTTTGGATGGATCCAATTAATTGCTTAAGATCAATATATATGCCCCCGTAGAGAAAAACCTCCTTGGATATATGTGGGTAACAACACAACCAGCAAATTTGAAATCCCCATTCGAATGCATTTTAAAATTTTCATTGGAGATGCTCTAATTAGTGATTACCAAGTACCATTCAAAATCGAAATTATTAAACGATTGGTTTGGTTAGAGACTACAGTTTCGTCGACTCTTAACTCGTCACATCGCTTGACGTTCCACAATATTTTTTTTTGTATAACATTATCAGACCTGAATGAATTTGAGAGGAACATAATTGATATAATATATATATATATGTATGTATGTATGTATATCTTAACTACTATCATGCGAACATTAAAGGACAAATGACCTGTCTAAGAATTTCTGATCGAGTAACCTAGCTAAAATCGTCAGCCGAAAAATCCTACGCCCTAACCTACCCCATCGGCCACCCCACTCCACCACCGGCAAAACCCTTCCTTTTTTTAACTCTCTATCTCTCTCTTTTCCCCCTTTCTCCTCTCTTTCTTTCTGCTGCACCATAAATGCTTTGGAGTTGATGATGGAGTGGGTTTGGGATTTCTGGAACTAGCTTTTCGAAGGGGTGGAAGTTGATGGAGGAGTCTTCAATGATGATTTTAAGGTTTCGCATTCCCTCTATATATCTTCTTTTTTTTATTTTTAGTACAATAATATATTTTTGAGAACTTTTATGAAAAGAGCTTAGCCTAAATTTATTTTAATAAGAAACCATGCTATAATTTATTTAATTAAAAAGACTTAAATTTTAATTAAAAAAAACCTTTAAATTTTAATAAAAATGATAAAAAGAACTTAAATTTTAATGAAAAAGACATAATTTGAATATTAAAAAAAACTTTAAAAAAAAATCTGACACGTGGACTCACGCGTCCTCACACAAACGGTTTATAAAACTTTTTACAATTTGAATATTAAAAAAAAAATCTGACACGTGAACCTACGCGTTCTCACACAAACCGTTTATGAAACTTTCTACATTTTGAATATTAAAAAAAACTTAAAAAAAAAATCTGACACGCGGATCCACGTGTCCTCACACAAACTGTTTATGAAACTTTGTACACTACTTACTACACTGTTTATGAAACTTAACATTACTACACTGTTTATTAACAATACTACATTCTTCTCTCTCCTCTTCTTGAATATTCTTGGCACATTCTCACCTTCCAAACAGATTTTCTTCTCCTAATTTTCTTCGATACTCATCAAATTTTCTCTGTATCTCTTCAATTTCTTAACTTTTTATACCAATTACTTAATTTTCTATGTATCTCTTCATTAGTTTCCCTTGTTAAAATTTCTATCCTAAGATTCGTTTGCAAGATAAGGATAGTAACTTTAACTAGATATTTGAAGAAGGTTTCACGAATTTCACATGATCATATTATATGGATTCTGAAGGTGGAAGGAAACGTAGAGGGAGTGGAAGCGGTGGTCGAGGTGTGCGTGGGATGGATTTTTGTCTGGGAATTGGATATAATACGGAGTCTAATAATTCTTCGTCGCATACGGTTACTAGTCGATCTGTTACAGTAACTCGTACACATCATGCACGCGCTTTTTGTTAGGTAATTTTTTTGTTTATTTTTCATTTCTCTTGTCCTTGTCATTAAATAAAGTTATTAAATGGTTTTTGGTTAAATTCTAAAATTTTGAAAATTATTTTCATTAGTTTTTCTTATATTTTACACTAAGGGGAGGGTGAATTCTGTTAAGCTCCATAAGGGACAACATAATTTGGTATCAAATTCGTCATCCGCGAGATTCAAACTTAAGACATCTCACTTACAAAGGAAGAAAAATACCACCAGACCTTAGTTTCTGCTTCAAATTTATGCAAGCAAAATCAAACCAAAAAAGGTAGGTAAGAGAGAGATTAGACGGTCGATTGCAAGTGGTGGGGTTGGTCGGGGATGAGCTCATTAATTGACATGTACATATCACTTGCTACATCAGATGATACACTAATGTAGTATAAAAATCTGGTATCATTAGTAGAAAAACATGTTTGCGCGACGAAGCAAATTTTGTCGCTCAAAGTATGTTTGCGAGACGCAAAACACAAAATGTCGCGCAAATGACCTTTGTGCGACGACACTTTGCGCGACTAAGTCTGGTGTCGCGCAAAACAACTTTGCGCGACGTAGGTGCAACTGCGTAGAGTTGATAATTGGAAAAAAGATGTGTTCGCATCTTCTTCTTGGAGCCATTTAACGCGTGACTGCTGTTGCAAAAAACTCTTTTCTTGTGCGCTTAATTTATCCACCTTTTTTGAAATCTCCTTAATTTCTTCAACATTTTGCTTTGTAATTCTCCTAGTTGGCATAATAGGTCATCAATTTACCCTCTTCTCATTTAAATTTCTTTCGACTCCACTGAATAAGCTTTGAGCGACAATCGTTAAGTTTCTTATGCCAATTCCCATTCGCATCCCCATCATTATGCCTCTGCCAGCAAGAACGCATCAGCTCTCTACAGTCATCTTCCTTGGACCAGAATGCTTCGAACTGAAATACTTTCTTCCTCTTTTCATCCCAGGGTCACACTGAATAATGATTGGATAATGGTTCGAGCCCAATATCGTACCATGTGTGACAGTAGTATTCAGCCAGAACTCTTGCCAAAGACCATTGGAGAGACCACAGTCTAGCCTCTCTTCCACCAACACCCCATTTCTAGTACCTCGCCAGGTGAATGCCAGTCCATTGTAGTCCAAATCCATAAGCTCCGTGCAATTCATAAACTACGCCAGGTAGTTAGGGCGATTATACAAAACCTGAGTCCTACCCGATTTCTCCGAATCCCATATGAATTCATTAAAGTCACCTCCGCAGAGCCACATAATAGATGTGGACCTAAAATGAGAGTTCATCCACCCCCAAAATTCCTCTTTCTCATCTTGGTACGAAGTTCCATATACCCCTGTTACCAGCACCCAATTTCGTGCTCCCACTTCTCTAGCGATAGCATCAATAACGTTTTTAGAAGAATAAGATACCTCAACTTTCAATAAATCATCCCACCATAAACTTAATCCATCAGCTTTCCCAATTGGAGAAACATTGAAGCCCCCCCCTTCCCCCGAGTATCATATTGGACACCTAACACCATCTATTCTATTATCTTTCATTTTGGTTTCAGAGAGAAAGATCATAGAGGGTCTTTTTTTTTTATAAGCTCAAATAGGGCATGAACTATCGTGTCCGACCCTAGACCACAGTAGTTCCAAAATAGGTACGTCATGGTGAGCGTGCGGCTGTTGAAGGCTAGCCGCCACCACCTTGGGAAGAATTTCCCGTTCTTCTTGCCGTCATTGCCCTCCTTTCCCTCTCTGAGACTTCCTCCATATAATCCTACATTTCTTGGTATTCAACTGGCACTTCCTGAAGATCCTCCTCGGCTTGTAACGTTCGTTCTACCATCAAACAACGTTCTCTTAGGTACCGTTTGGTACGTGGGACGGAACGGAACGAGCCGTTCCGTCCCACGTTTGGTGCGCCTAAAAACTGTAGAACGGGTTGTCCCATGGGACGAAATTTGGCTGATTTTTCGTTCCACCTCTTCCCCCTGGAACGACCCGTTCCACATCCGTGGAACACAAATTTATAACATTTTATGACAAAATTTCTCCTTATCTTTTTCAATATTTACATCATCCATTATGTCCTGTCCCGTCCTGTTCCGTTTTGTCCCGTCCCGTCCCGTCCCGTTCCGTTCCGTCCCGTCTGCGTACCAAACGGACCCTTAGGCCATCTTTAACCGATGGCTGGCCAGATGGCTCGTTTTAACCCTCTGGCCCTCCAAGATTCTCCAAGATATTAATATTTTAATGAACAGTACATGGCCATATTTGCCTCTGTCTCCAACCGAGGGCCAGAGGGCTCGTTTTAGCCCTGTCACAAAAAACCGTCTCCAACCGAGGGCCAAACATAATTTATTATTTAAAAACTACAATTTAAATTCAAATCTAACGGCTAAGTGACTTCATGTTGTTAAATGTTTTTTTATGTTGTATAATTTGTATGTTGGTTAATGTTATTTAATGTTGTTTCATATTGTTTAATGTTGTTTCATGTTACTTAATTTAATTTAATGTTGTATAAATGGCCTAGGAAGTTATAGGAAAAAAATGGAATTGAAAAAAAATATGAAACAAATTTTGTGAAATAGAAGTTATAGGAAAAAAATGGAATTTAAAAAAAATATGACAAATTTTGTAAAATAGAAGTTATATGAAAAAAAATATGACAAATTTTGTAAAATAGAAGTTATATGAAAAAAAATATGAATCAAATTTTGTAAAATAGAAGTTATAGGAAAAAAATAGAATTTAAAAAAAAATTGAAACAAATTTTGTAAAATAGAATTGAAAAAAA